TCCACGAGGAAGCAAAGAAAGAATATTTTAAGTGGCGACCAGTGGTGACCAGCATAATCTAGTTCCTTCAACCAGAAGTCTCGATAGCAGCATCCAGTGTTTAGTAATCATGTTTGGTAACAATGACCTTTTGTCCTCACTGGACTGGTTTTGAGATATGATTGATTTTGAATTATGATTCCATCTATATACTTACCCTGTCTTGGTGCCTGTTCCCCCAAGCTAATTCTCTACCCTTGAGAATTCGAAGAGAAACTCAAATGGATTCAATATAGTTTAATCAGCCTGTGAGTGATTCACTTGCTTGTAACTAAAAACCCTGACCCATACTCTGCCAGTGATTTTTGTTTGTTTGTTTGCTGCTAATTAGGTATCTTTAACATTGTTTGTTGGAGAAGGCAATGGCACCCGACTCCGGTACTCTTGCCTGGAAAAGGAGGAGCCTGGTGGGCTGAGGTCCATGGGGTCGCTAAGAGTCAGACATGACTGAGCGACTTCACTTTCACTTTTCACTGTCATGCATTGGAGAGGGAAATGGCAACCCACTCCAGTGTTCTTGCCTGGAGAATCCCAGTGATGGGGGAGCCTGGTGGGCTGCCGTCTATGGGGTCGCACAGAGTCGGACACGACTGAAGTGACTTAGCAGCAGCAGCAGCAGCAACATTGTTCATTGTGACTACTTTAACTTTTTCCTTTTCTTACTTACTCTGTTGGTACCTTGGGGTCAGTGACTTAAGTTTGCTACTACTTCACAAAAGTGTTGTAAGGATTATGTGACATACTCTGTCTACCCTGGTCTTGGCACTGATGATGTTAAATGCTCCTTTTCATAGCACTTAACCTTTTCTAGCAAATTCACTTACTTATTATATCGGTTATTGTCTGTCTTCCTTATTAGAATATAAGCTTTATAAGGACAGGGAGCTTTGTCTGTTTCTACAGGGCCTAGAACAGTGTCTGACACATAGTAGGCACTCAGGCAGTATTTACTGAATGAATACATGAATCCAGATACTGCCCTTGTTTTTTGAAGATGTGTATGTTCCTAACTACATAAAGAAAATTAAAAGATCATCTGTGACTCCCAAAATCTCCCACCAACTCCAAACATCTGTCACCCATCATTCATTCATTGTTACTGTAGTCTCTCTTTCACCTCCTTCTCTTTTCAGAGGCCAGTCGGCTCTTTCCCAGATTCACTCCTTTCCCACGTCTCTTCCAGAATGACCACAGCTTTTCGATTACTCCCTCATTCTTATCATATGTTTCTCCCTACTTGTGCCTTGCCTGTAGCTTATGGTGACTGAATCTTTGGCTTAGCCTTTTCTTTAAAAAAGGAAAGAAACAGAATTTTACCATTAAAATCCTTCAATCTGGCTCCTCGTCTCTTATTTACTGCCAGATGTCTTAAAAGAGCAAAAATTTTACTGTCTTTTTTCCTAAATCTTCAGTTATACCTCGGCCCCTTGCAGCAGGCTCTCCATACTTCACCCCATTACCAAAATTGCTCTGGCCAAGGTTTTTTGTGACGTAAATGCAGAATTCAGTGGTCTTTAGTCAGCCTTCATCTTCTACTTTGTCTATGGATTTGACATTTCTTTCCATTTAACTAATATTTATTGAACATGGACTTAATGCCCTGCATTCTACTAGGCAGTAAGGATATAAAATGTAAGTAAAAGTCATGTGCAACAAATAATATATCACAAGGTCTATTAGGAGTTATGAGCAACATCTCTTGGAACTGTGGATGAAAAACACTTTTCCTGGGCCAAGAGAGAAAGTATCAGGGAAAAGAAGATGACATATTATCAGATAATGAAGGGAAATGAACAAGGACCAAAGTAACATTGCCAACAGCACATAAAACATAAAAGTGCTGGGTATTTTAAAAAATCAGCAATTAGTCTAATAAGCCAAAAATGGGGCACATTAAAGCAGATAAGGATGTATTATAACAGACCAGGCAAGATACGATGCAGTGTGCGTTCGGAGGCAGAGAATGGAGATTGGGAGTAGGGTTGCTGGAGAAGTGTTTTGGGGAGAATCGGTAAGACTCAGCACCTGCTCTGTTAGTGTGTGACGGCAGCGTGGAGGAGAGAGTACTTTCTGTATTGGACACGGCGAAGTGTTTGATGCTGTGAAATATCCATATAATGAATCTCAACAGGCCGTCAAGTATGTGGATACAGAGGCCAGGTGTGGTCAAGACGGCAGACAAAAATTGGGGGTGGAGATTGAAGTCAAGAGAAAGGATAAGATAAAGAGGTAGACGATTTTGAATCAGAGAGGAAGGATGTTTAAGGGAGTCAGACCGGACTGTATCTTTGTGAAGTCGGGTAACTAAGTTGCCTGCTTCAGTGAAGGGTGTTTTAATAGTGACAAAATTTTGGAACCATAACTGTGCCTATAGTATTATTTTTCCTGTCAGGTTTCTACCTTTGCTCATTAACTAGTCTGACCCTACCAGATCTTCATTTGTCTGTGACACTGCTTCTCCAGCATCACTGTCAACTTCATGGTATCCTACCTGTCCTGCAAAATTTGCCATATTGCTTTGCATTATCTTTGCATTATGTTCACAGATGTATCCTACATCAGCAAGAGGCCAGAATAAAGATGGTGGTATGTTAGGGATAGTTTCAGGGGCTAAGGACACATTTGTGTATACAAAGTCCAACTTCTGTAGCTTATATTTCAATAGAGGGAAGTAGATAGTAAATATGTTAAGTGGTGATAAATATAATGGAGAGAAATAAAGTAGGGTAAAGGGAAAATAGAAAAACCGTACAGAGACCTGAAAGGAGAGAGAATAGTCGTGTGGCTATCCAGAGAAAGAACATTCCAAGAAGAGGGAGGAGGAAGTGTGGAGACCCTGAAATAAGATTGCCTTTTGGTGAATTCCAGGAATAACAAATGAGCAAGAGAGTCTGGAGTTAAGTGAGCACAGGGCTAGGTGAAGACAGAGTTGGTAAGGATAAAGGACAGATCATGGAGTGTAAATTCTCAACCAGTTAGATTCAAACTTTTCAATTTTATGATGGCAATTTTGTAATTTCAGCTTTACTGAAATGCAAATCATATATGATATATAACTTCCTTAAAAATTTCAAAATATAACTTGAATACCCTAATTAAAGGACATTTGTTTATAATGTGTTTGATATGTAAATAAAACATGTAGCGACAGCACATTTTTAATAGTAAATGCTTGAGGCAGGAAAATCCAGGAAGACATCAGTGCCCTATAAAAACTACCCTTGGGAGCCATACTTTCTGAGAACAACTTGGTAATGAGCCCTGCAGGCCTTCATTCAGCTCTTACCCTAAGCGGAGAAGCTACCAGAGGGTTTAAGGGTGAAAGAGTAACATAATCTGACTAATATTTTAAAAGACTCACACTGGCCTCTTTATGGAGTGAGGTGTGGGTGGACAAGGGCAGAAGCAGGGACTAGTTCAGAGGGTATTACAATAATCCAGGTGCAAGAAGATAAGTTGGACTGAGGTGATAGTGAAACAGGACTTTGAAAAGTGGGTGAACTCTGGGTGTCCAGAGAAGATAGAGGGTTTGCTGATGGGTTGGATGTACAATGTGGAAGAAAGGAGCCAAGGATAACTCTGACAATTTTCACCTGAACAGATGTAAGGGTAGAATTATAGTTCATTTAGAAAAGGCTAGGAGACACCCGGAGAAGGCAATGGCAACCCCCTCCAGTACTCTTGCTTGGAAAATCCCATGGATAGAGGAGCCTGGTAGGCTGCACACCATGGGGTCGCTAAGAGTCAGACATGACTGAGCGACTTCACTTTCATGCATTGGAGAAGGAAATGGCAACCCACTCCAGTGTTCTTGCCTGGAGAATCCCAGGAACGGGGGAGCTGGTGGGCTGCCGTCTATGGGGTCGCACAGTCGGACACAACTGAAGCGACTTAGCAGCAGCAGCAGCAGAAGGAGTCACTGGAGAAGGAAATGACAACCCACTCCAGTGTTCTTGCCTGGAGAATCCCAGGAACGGGGGAGCTGGTGGGCTGCCGTCTATGGGGTCGCACAGTCGGACACAACTGAAGCGACTTAGCAGCAGCAGCAGCAGAAGGAGTCACTGGAGAAGGAAATGACAACCCACTCCAGTGTTCTTGCCTAGAGAATCCCACAGACAAAGGAGCCTGGTGGGCTGCAGTCCATGGGGTCACAAAGAGTCGGACACAGCTGAAGTGACTTAGCAGCAGCAGCAGGAGTCACTGAGGAAGGAGAATCCAGAGGTTCCCTTTTTGGATATATTAAGTTTGAAATATCTATTAGACATCCTGGGAGAAAAGATGTTGTATTGAAGCTCAAATATATAAATCCCTAGAGTTCAGGGAAGAGATCCAGGCTAGAAAATTGTAATTTATAATTGTTCATGTGGTGGGGTTACACAGGATAGACTACCAGTGATTCTCTGGTGGAGATGAGATTTTTATGTTCATTAAGTTGGGGGATGAATTTAAGAGTTGACATAGATAATAACACATAGATTATTAGACTTAGAAGTTTTGGGCACTGTCATCCCCTTCTGTTTCCTCTGCAGTCCCAAACCAAGTCCATCCAGGTACATATCTAATAAGGTGTGCTGAATGAAGAAGGCGTGCTTCTCTTGAATTTGGAGCCAGAAGATCAGACCTTTTGAGTTAATAAAAAAGGACTCTCTTTTGGACTCTTACTGTAAGGCTTTGAGTGGTGTTGACTTATTTAGAAATTTTAATTTGTTCAGATGAGATAGTCAGTGCTTTGGAAGGAAAAACTTTTTGTTATGCATTCTAACTCCTATAACTGTTTACATTATATACTTTTATTAGCCTTTGATTATTAGAATGATTAATCATAAAGTATCACTAGTATCATAAATACTAGTGTAATCTTCATAAAATTGGTGTTAAGATGCCTAGTGTGACCTTAATGTAATTTCTAAAATATAGTAATTACTTGTCACATCTTTAATGTTCATTTGGCATTCTTATAGGAAGATTTGGAGACTGGAGTTCACCTTGACCCTGCCGTCAAAGAGGTTCAGTATAATCCTACCTATGAGACCATGTTTGCTCCTGAGGTAAGAAAATGTATTAGAATAAGAGTGTATTTTGCTGAAGTATTTAAATTGTTGTTGTTTTAGTTGCTAAGCCAACTCTTTTGTGACCCCATGGACTATATATCCCACTAGACCCTCTGTCCTTTGGTTTTTCCCAGGCAATAATACTAGAGTGAGTTGCCATTTCTTTGTCCAGGGGATCCCTGACCTAGGGATTGAACCCACATCTCCTGCTTAGCAGGTGGATTCTTTACCACTGAGCCACCTGGGAAGCCCATACATAGGTAGATAAACAGTTGGTGAATTTTTCAAAGTTTTCTCATGAAAGTACACCGTTTAAACTGTCAGAAAATATCTCCTGTTATATGTTACTTATATCTCAATTAAAAAAGAAAGGAAAATACATCCTTCTATTCTCCAAAAGTTAAATAGTACACTTTTGTAAGAATATATCTAATTCCTAGATGCAGACTTAGTTAACATCTTCTTCTCAGTGTTGATAAGGGAGTGTTACAAGTTAACCATGAGGGAAAAAATTTTGGTTGATTAGCATCATTAATGCATAGTGTATTATGAAACATCTAGTAACAAATGCTGCTGTGTTAAACAGTAAAAAGAGATGCCATGCTGACGTGGTCATGGCTCAAAAATAGCCACACTGTTGATTGCTTGCTTTGAGTCAGACATCTTATGAATTCTTTTTCTTGATGATAAATGGTGATGGAAGCACTAAAAAAGCTGAAGAAAAAAAAAAAAAACAGAAACAGTGAAAATTGTCAGAAACCCTTTGTAGAAAAGATTAGATTTCTAGATATTTAGCCTTTGAAAAGGAGAAAAGAATGCTTGATTGATAAAATACAGATGTCAGAAAAAGATCATTATCAAAAGTAATAATAATACCAGTTCAGTAGCAGGATCTTTCAGAGCACTTTAAAGATGGAGATGAGGAGCTGTATCTTATTGGATCCTGGTGGAGAAAGAAGTACTTTTTTCATTTTTTGGCATATAGTCATTGTCCTTTTTTTTTTTTTGATAAGCTATTTCATGTAATTTTTGCCTGCTTAGGTTTCCATAGTCACTTAAAATTTGGCAGTGGCACCGTATGGTGCAGCCAAGGATGTCAATGCTGGTGTTCAGGCTGTTCTCTTAAGTGTACAAGAAGCAAAAATCTCATTCTCATGCTCTTGAGAGTGGTACAATTTTATTTTATTCCATTATTTCTTAAATCCTTATCACCTGTTAAATCTTAGACTGTTTTCTAGCTCTTGGCATTATTTTAGCTGGTGCTTTAAAGAGAGGTAGTATATATATGTTTTTATTATATACATGTCTTTTTTTTTAATGTAAAGTATTTCAGTTTAAGCCACTGAATTCAGAAAATGAGAAAATTTGAAAGTGACATGATGTGTGACATTCTTATGTTAGTGAATTTCTATAAAGCCTGTTTTTCTTAAATTTTTAGATCCTGTGCATAACCTAACATATTGCTGTGTGATTATTTTTCAAAACTTTCAAGAAAAATTCAAAAGGTCAAAAAATTTGGGATGCTATTGACAAGATACTAGGTTTATCATTCTTGTTTTGGGGTTATCAGTCCTTTAATTTTTTGTTCTCCCCCACCCCATGTTAGGGAACCTCACATTAGATGTATCAACTGGTTTATGTTAGGAACATTTCAATGCTTATTGTCTACAATTTAAGAAAAGAGTGATGAGGCTGAAAAGTGAAGAAAAATTACAGTTTTCCAAGGAAATTGTCTGTGACATAAATTACTGACTTTGAACTTTTTGACTAGAGTCTGAGTAACTTGCCAAAGTCTGGAAAGTGTTACCAGAGCTTTCCTAGATGAAATTCAAGTTCTCATGATTTGAAAATCCATCGTTAGAAACAAGATTTAATCCCTCTGTTCATGCTAGTGTTTACCAGAGAGGATACGCCACGTGTTTTTTGTTTTGTTTTTAAGAAAAAAGAGAGACCAGACTCTTTTCTATAGTGCCTCTAAAGCACTACTTAAGTTTAAGGAGAGTTTGCATCTGGTTGTAAAGACAGAAGTTTCATGAAGGTATTTGTAACTAGCAATTTTTTTTTAATGGGCAATACAGTCCACATTAACAACACGAGACGTGGGGCTACACAGACCACTTATTACCTCTTTTGTGATCTTAAATTACCTTATTTTTTTTCCATAGGTAAAATGAAGATTATTTCTGTTTACTAAATTATAAAGACAAATGAGATAATATATGTTGTGCTTAGGAAACTCTCTGGCACAGAATAATAGGCATTTAATAAATTATAGCCTTTATTATTATTTATGTTAATATTATTGACATTGATGGCTAGGTAGGCCTTTAGAGGAAAGGTTCTAGGCAAAAGGGAACAGCATGAGCCAAATCACAAAATAGAACAGTAGTGTTTTAATCATTATTAGTAGGGGAGAACAGGCTAAGACTAGAATAGCACTTTGTACAGAAGGTATTACACAGGCTCTGGGGGCCAAGGCAGCGAGTTTGGTCTTGATTTAATAGATGAGTTTTTAGGAAGATTTATTTTAAAGGTTTGCATGATGGAAAAGAGCAGGGATGGAGACTAATGAAATAAAACAACCACTTATTACTCTATGGCAGGTACCACCCTGAAGGATTTGTATGCCTTATCTTCTTTAGCCCTCTCTACGACCCTATGTATCCCTATTTTAGGGTGAGGAATTTAATTGTGGGATTATACTGCTTGCAGGTGCCATATTTGGGGATTTGATCATTCTTAACAATCACTCCATGACTATGAGACCATTTAGAAGGCCACAGTGTAGTTTGCAGTTTTGACTATTATAAACTAATGAATTGCTATTTTATTTTGGATCCACTTAGAGAAAAGTGTATTTGTTAGCTTCTCTAGACTCATATAAAGCCCATAAGCCTCAGAGAGAATGTCATACTCCTTAAAATAACACTACTTTTAAGAATAGAAGAAATATAAAAGTTTAGAAGGGGGAAATGCCAGTTACTATTTAAGATCTGTTTAAGGCTTCTGTTTAAGCCTTTAAGAAGGGCTGTTGTAAATATTAATGTTAGAATGGACTTCAGAAGTCAGACAGATGAGAACTTTTATTTTACAGATGAGGAAACTGAGGTTCAAGGTCATAGAACCACTAATAAAATGTGCTATCGTAATATTTAAACTGTGCTTATGTTTTACAAGATTGAGGTATTCTGCAAATAAAATTGAATTGTGGTGAGCTTTTCCAAAATTGTAGAAAATAATAATATATTCTTCTCATCTTAAAATTGTTTATAAATGTTTTATACATTGATTATTGCAATAAATATTCATGAAAAACTTAGCAACAATCTAAGAGTAATTACTTGTTCAATAACTTAGGGTTTTTTCCCCATCTGTGAACTTATGGTTTTATTTCATATAGTCAATTTTTACTTAGTGAAATTTCTTAATTCCTGTGATGTTACGATATATTACTAAGGCACGCGTGCTAAGTCGCTTTAGTCATGTCCAACTCTTTGTGACCCTATGGACCATAACCCTCCAGGCTCCTCTGTCCATGAGATTCTCCAGGCAAGAATACTGGAGTGGGTTGCCATGCCCTCCTCTAGGGCATCTTCCCGACCCAGGGATTGAATGTGTGTCTCTTAGTCTTCGGCATTGGCACGTGGGTTCTTCACCTCTAGCACCACCTGGGAAGCCGCATGCTACTAAGGCATCAACCCTCAAGTACTCTGCCTGCTAAAGACGTGAGAACCACTGCCTTATAATACATGGTCTCTTAGATTTATCAACTAATGCCTTAAATTAAAAATGCTTTTTTCCTGAGTTTATAAATAAAGCACTGCTTCACTCAGATGAAAGCTTGCTTACCTCGGAAACATTTTCTTTTTTGGTGCAATGTCTGAATTAATATTTAAATATGAACATTTTATATGGGAGATTTACAATTGTATTTGACTACCGTGTACTTCTGTACTGATGCTGGGAAAGATTGAGGCCAGGAGGAGAAGGGAGCAACAGAGGATGAGATGGTTGGATGGCATCACTGACTCAATGGACATGAGTTTCAGCAAACTCTGGGAGATAATGAAGGACCGGGAAGCCTGGTGTGCTATATATATAGTCCATGGGGTCACAAAGAGTCGGACACGACTGAACGACTGAACTGAACAGTGTACTTCAGTATTATCTGAGCTCAAAACTATTGAATACTCATACCTAATTAACTTGAATATCTATTTTTAAAAATCATTTGAATGTAAATTTACACTTAAACTTAGTTAACTACCAAAAATTGAAAAGAAGCATTTAGAAATCAGTTTTGTGTCTTTTTAAATAGGCATTGTTTTATTTTTTAATGGCTAACCAAGAATTAAGACTTGCATAGTCACACAGACCAGGAACCTCTGGGAGAATAATTGGTAAGAGCTGAGCCCTGCTAAATAACATTCTCTGCCTTCTCTGTTGACATTCAATATCTTTGAGGTCAACTCTGATAGCTGCCAGTAACCAGAAAGTTAAGGAGAGCTAGAAGTAGATGAATCCTACCCCAGGCAGCTGCCTATATTAGTGGAAGATTTTGTCGTTGTTGTTGTCACAGCTTAGATATTTATAAAGTCCAAGCACATTTAAATTTTCAGACTGTGTTAAGAAAGCACCACAGCTTTCAGTGGCTATGAAGTTGGGCATATCCCAGCCAGGAGTAGGACGTAAGATCTCATTGTTCTTCCAGCCTTTCAACCCTCCCTTGAAGCCCCTCAATAAAATGGTTTGATTAAAAAAAAAAAAAAAAGAATAGTACACATACCACAAGATATACTTTACTGGAATATATGGATCTATATTCTTATGGAAATCATAGTTCTTAACACTGAGAATTTTTCTGTAAAAGACAGTTTGACATGTATGACCTGTAGAAGAATTATTCTCTTTTTGTAAAATCTTAATAAAATTAGACTATGGAAATGTACTTTGCTTTTTCAAATCAGAAGTTTACAAGCATAATGATTGGTAATTAATTATATGTGATAGGAGTAATGATATGGGCAATGGAGATTTTTATTGTTTTAGAATTTTTTTATCCCCAGAAATATCACATGCTGCTTTGCAGATGTTAACTGACTGTAGCAATTAGATCATCTGGAAAACTTAAGTTGTTTCATAATCTTTAATTTTATGAATGTTCTTATTTTTGTAATAAATTTAATAACTGAATGAAGTTAACTGTAACTTCCAGCATTCAGCAATCTTGATTTTTTTTTCCCCTGCATTTCCACCTATCAGCACAGAAAGAAGTAATATGGGCTGCAAAGTCTTGTCCTGTCCTACATTTTAATTTAGAATAAATAGTAATAAAATCTTTATCTATCAATTAGATATCTTAAGATTGAATCATTTTAAACCTAGAAATGGAAGTTGTCAATAGAAAGGAATATTATAGTAATTTGCTTTCTTCTAAAGCAGAAAAAATTATAAAGCAAATCTAACTTTTAAATTCAGACTTGTGTTTATAGTATAATGTTGATACATAGAGAAGACAGCATTCTGGTTCAGAAAAGGTCAGTAGTTTATATTTATGGCTCTGGAAGTGTATAATGGAAAAGGTGGTTTCTAATGGTAGTGACCTAAGATGTTTTAACATCAGAATCTTTCTAACATCATGACAATTCTAACATCATAACAGTTGACCTGTATAGTTCTACTGTTTCCAAAGTAGGAAGTTCATTTTATTCTTTATTTTGAAACTGAAAAGAACTGAACTTTCCTAATACCTTTTTTAATAGCATTAAGCAAATTATTGACTCTGAGCAGGTAAGATATGTCATCTTGACTTTTTTTTCATTTCTAACATGAGAAAGAGAATACCTCTCTAACTTTCCAGAATTTGTGTACACATCAAATTAAATAACATTTGGAAAGCCATTCTGGAACTCAAAACATTGTAAACAAATAGGTAATAATGGCACTATTTTATGTAACTTTCAGACATTCATAGTGTGACTTTTCAGAGTAGAGAAGTTGTATATACATTTGTAATGTCTTTTCCTAGGGACTTTTTCAAGCAGTTTACTCTTATTGTCTATTTGCTGTCTTCTTCCCCCCATCAGATTCTGATTAATCTTTCCTTCATTAGTGCTTTCTATATGCCAGGCAGTATGAAAAGTGTGAGGGTTCTAAGTCTGTACCTTTGAGAAACTCATAATCAAGTAGCTGAGAAACATGTGTTTTTTTTAATTACATCACCACTCCAAAAATCCCCAAATCATGGTTTAGACAAAACTATAGTGAGTCTCAATTATCTGGAGCAACACTGTCAAATAGAACTTCCTGAAATGGTGAAAATGTAGTAATCAATAATTGTATGTGGCTGTTGGGCTCGTGAATATGGCTAGAATGACTGTAGAACTGAATATTTGAATTAATTTAAACTTAAATAGCTGCATATAGAGTGAGCTGATTCCTGTCCTGTGCTATTGGCTGACAAACAGTGCTAACAAGCCGCTGACTGGTTGCCCTGAATCATGTGAGGTGAGCAGGTCCCCAAATAGGTTTAACGGCCCCTGATAATTCAGAGTTGAAAATATACTGTGCAATAATTCTACTCATTCTATTGAGAATGTTTTTTATTGTTTTTTTTCCTCATAACATTGCAGTTTGGACCAGAAAATCCCTTCAGAACCCAGCAAATGGCTGCCCCTAGAAATATGCTTTCTGGATATGCTGAACCAGCCCATATCAATGATTTTATGTTTGAACAGCAAAGAAGAACTTTTGCCACTTATGGTAAGGTGATAAGAGAGTTCAAGTTAAACCTTATTAGAAATGATGTGTGTGTGTGTGTGTAATAATCAATTTTATCTTCTGACTTTTTAAATTTATTAATCTGGATGCCTTAAGAGGGTAGTGTGTTTTCTTATACATATCTGTAAATATAGCAGTGGGAAGGTGCACTAGTATTTTTAGCTATCATTCTAAACCTGCTCTGATTTCTGAATACTAGAAATATTCTGTGGTCTTAAAAACAGAATGTTTTCTGTTGTACTTTTTGATAGCACTTCATACTGAATGACTGTTACATGCAGATTGCTGTTGAAGTTGGTTAATAACAGGATAGAGTGAAGAGTATTCTTGCCTGGAGAATCCCATGGACAGAGGAGCCTGGCAGGCTGCAGTCCATGGGATCACAAGAGTTGGATATGACTTAGCGACTAAAGAGAGAAAGAGTCTTAAGAGTTATATTTTTATTTTCTTATGTACTGGTTGACTTCACTGTCTTTCTCAAATCTCTCTGAAAAGTTTTCTGTTGATTACTGAGGGATGTCAAGAAATGGAATGGCTACAACTTAATGTGCATACAAAGCTGGGAATCCCCTCTGAAAGAAGATGGTCTTTATAATAATGTCCTTGTTGTTGGTTCCACAGAACAGAAGTCTCGTCACTTATATCAGATTTGTTCATATTTGGTGGCACGTTTTCTATCTCTTCCTATAATCTACATCTGTAGGTTGAGAGATGCATTGATTACCTTCTGCTTTGAAGAACTTTTTGGTAGAGTGGTTAAGCAAAGTAACTGAGAATGTTTTTATGCCCATTGTAGTTGTAATCTTTTTCTGTCCTATCTGCCATTAACTTCCATTATTTTAAGGGAGGGCCCCACAAAAGTTAAGAAAGCAGTATTATGTGAAATATTATGTTTGCAGTGATGCTTTTTAATAATAGTTATTTTCACTAAAAAATAACATAAACAAATTTCAAACATTTAGGAAAGAGGGAAAAAAAGGTTACCTATAATCCTATTATACTAATATGTCTACTTTTAGTGAAATTTATTCCTCCAAGTCTTTTTTATTATACATATTTGTATTATAGAGCTATAATCCTTCTAAACTGAAAATTTTGCAGCTTGCTTTTTTAAAATCAATATTCTGTCATAAAAATTTTTCAGTGTTACTTTATAATCTCAAAGCTTATTATTTTTAAGAGCTATATAATACCCACTGATTGGTTTTATCTCAGTTTACATATTTATTCTAATGTTGGAAAGGGTTTTTCTTTTTTCCTAGTTTTTAAAGAGTGATGTAAACTGATTCACTGAATTAGTTTAGAGGTTTAGTACAAATAGTCTTAGTTATTTATCCATAATATATTCTTGGAAACTGGTTGTAAAAAGATTGTCATATATTAAATTATATTTCACCATGCCAGGGTTATAATGGACTTAACAGGTGACAAAATTCATAGCAAAAGATTTTATACCTCTAAAATCTCCAAAAAGAGTTCAATGACATTTCCAATCCCACAAAATAAATGCATTGTACCCATTGCTTATATATAAGGGATTCCATGTAAACCTAAAATATATGTGCAGTACATAAAAACCAACCCTGTTCCATCATGAATTTATTATATCCTAGCCTACAATAAAACAAACTTATAAAGATTTTGCATATTTTTTAAGACTTTAGAAAGAAGGGCCTTAAGCAGTAGCTTAGAAAGCTTAAATCTTTAAAACAAAATAAAACAAGTAAAAAGTCAGTGCAGATACCTACAAAGTTTATACTGATACCTACTTTTCTTAAGCTATCCTATAGCAAGAGTAAGCATTTAGAGCAGTTCAGTTGGCTTTAGACCTAGATTCAGAAATAGCTTATTTGGGGGGAAAAAATAGCTGGTATTTTTTTGCTTCTTCCATCAAGAGAGTGGGCTAGGACACAGAATGAACTATTTAGTGAGTTAAAGACATAAAAAGTGAATGTGGGATATACCATTTTAGGCAGCCTGGAATAAAAGGAGTGGCCCTTGCAAACCTAAGAAATGTATGCTCTTATGAAAAACCTTAGAACTGAGAACCATTTATTTGAACTTAAATTAGTAAACAAGTTAACCAACCTCAGGTTTAGCAGTCTTTTTTTTTCTCCCCTCCAGGTACTAAGCAAGTATAACTTGTGTTAATTTTAAAGTTTTATCATTTTTTCATGAAAAATTCTTGTCTAGCTCCAGGTAGTAATTCCTATCTACTTGTTTCCTCTCACTCTTGTATATGTAATGTAAAGCTACAGACCTTTCTGTTACCTTCTCTGATTTGCTTAGTACCAGGGGACAAACCTTCCTGACACCTTGTACTAGGGTTACCTATGAGACATGAAGGAGATGGCCCAGGAATTCAGCATTACCTGTGTTACACTTATCACTCTGTAACTCTGCTGGGATATAGAACGAACATTAATCCTACATTTCTTCCCATTTTTAAATGGTTGTAGCAGTGTTATAATCTAAATGTATTATTTTATTTAGTTTATCACATCCACCTTTATTCCTTATCTGGGAAGGTAGTCTCTTTTATTGTATCATCCCACTCACTTATGCTACTGTTTTGTTTTTAGCTCCCTTTTTTGGTGTTTCTCTGAGTTCTTAGTCTCTCAGTGGTTTGTATGAATTCTTTTGTCCTATTCTTCCTTTTCCTCTTGGCTTCCTAGCCTGTTCCTTTGGGTTAATGATTCTGAATAGAAGCATGGCCCACGAAGAAGAATTGATCCTCAGAGTATGAGTGGACAGTTGAATGTGATAAAGTGATAATTCTTTTGGAGATAAGCGCAGAAAGATCCAACACAATGAAGACCTTTAAAATTATCTTGAGCAGCTTTGCCTCTCATAGGCAACTTTACAACTGAAAATTTGGTTTGCTTCTGATAGAATTATTGTTACGTACATCTTGATGATAAAAGAAGCTATGACATTTTCAGAAAATAAGGAAGAAATAAAGTCACAAGAAGACAGACAAAAGAAGCTGTTTTCAACATCTTGGGAAGGAAAATGTAAAATGAGTAAATGTGCATAGAATTAAAATGAATTGTAAATGGAAAAAAAATTGGAGTCAGTAATTTGTACTTTTTTCCTTTCAGGTTATGCATTGGACCCTTCATTAGATAATCATCAAGTGTCTACTAAATATATTGGTTCTGTAGAAGAAGCTGAAAAAAATCAAGGTAATTTATCTGAAATATTTAATATCAAATATACATAACTATACTTATTGTTTGTAAGCTGACTTTGGAGTAAGGAAAGAACTAGTATTTAATTTAGCTCCTGATTTTTTTAAACTTGAGACAGTAGAGTGATCTAGTTTAGAGCAATGTATTTATATAGTTAGTTTAGAGCTTGCTTTTGCTCCTTACTAGGTGTGCAGCCTTGTAGAGAAAAAAAGGTAGTCATACCTATGGCAGGGAGGGTGAGTTCCTGGCATAGTGCCAACACTGTAGAACTCATTTAAGAAATGAAAATGAATGTATACCTAATTTTAGCAATTTATTTCTCAACACTAATGTAAAGCTCCATTTTAACAGAGCAGAAAAAAATATCATTGTGCATATCTGTGGAAATTGCCTTTAAGGGTTGCTTTGAAGCTGAGTTTGAATATGTGTTTTAAAACATATGTTTGTGCCTGTGTTCATTTTGTACTTATTATAAGACAAAGCATCATACTCTAAATGTTAACTTGCCACAAAGCTCATCAGCCCCTTGGAATCTTATCCATAAAATGTTGGATAGAAAAAGAATATGCTATTTGTATGAAGGCACTTAGTAACTCTATAGCCTATATGATCAAGCTGCCTTTGGTTTATGAGCTAGATTGTTGTAAAAATAGGATTTTAACAACCTTTTGTTATAACACAGCCTAAAGGAAACTGATTTGAATTAACATAGGTAAGTTTTTCTCTTTGTTAGACCTCTACAAGTTACATCTTTATGTAGCTAGATTCTCAGTGAACAGTGAAATTTTGACCATGGCTCTGGTAAACCTTTCTTTTTCCAATTTAATGACTACACACAGCATGCCACTTTGTACTGATCAAATGAGAATCCCAACTAGAAACATCCTCTTTTCTTCCTGTTAAGATATATGATATCAGAGGTTCAGTTTAGATTGAGTTCACTTGGAAGAAATACAGATTCTTGTGAAACCTTCTTTATATTGTTGCATTATAATATAGCGAAGCAAGTAAAGCAAGGAATAGTTATTAATGAAATTTTATCTAATTTGGCTTTAAATGAGAAATTTGTTTATTCTTGCTTTCAGAGGTAAATTTTTCATTACTTAACATTATTAAATTGCTGTTTCTTTCAGAAAGTGATAAAATCTACTGATAAAGGTCTGTGATTAATTAAAAAGATTGTGTACCATGGCAGGATTACATAGCTGACTCTTTTTTTCACATATATTAGAACTTGGAAAATACTGCAGTTGAAGCAGTAGAAAGCTGCTTTGCCCAGAAGATTGAGTCTCTCTATATATAGCATGAGTCCATATGTCTGGATGCATATAGGTTTTATTTTGTTTTAAATAAATCTGTGAAAGTGTGTGTGTGTGTGTGTGTGTAAATCTCTTTAGAAAATACCCATATTTGTAATCTTTTTTTTTTTTTTTAATGTAGGTTTAACTGTGTTTGAAACTGGTCAGAAGAAAATAGAAAAGAGGAAAAAATTTAAAGAAAATGATGCATCTAATATTGATGGTTTCTTGGGACCGTGGGCAAAATATGTGGACGAAAAAGATGTAGCCAAACCTTCAGAAGTAAGCTTTAATGTTTTTCACTGCCAGTTCAGCTGTATGCTATATCTCAGTGAAGGATATCTGTGTTAACAAATGAGGTTTCCTTAGAGAACTAAATGACTCATCAGAATTTCTCGGCCTTAGTTGACTGAGAAAATAATATAAGATTCCTTTGTTTTTCTTTGGAATAATTTTTGTTTATATTTTTCTGATTTATTTTCTTACATAATTTTTAGCTAAAATACAGTATTGAACAATTGGTAATAAAAAATCACCTTGATAATACTATTAAGGTGCCATGGTAGTTGCTTTTCTGATACCAGTGTTCAGATAGCCTTTCTATGATTTTAGAATTGGTGGGTTTTATTTAATTTTTTTTAAATTTTAACAAAGTAGTATATCTATATATATGTTTTTCATAATATTATGATACAGCAAAGAACAAGATTAAGAGAAAATCCTGTCTTCAGGATGCTTACTTTCTAGCTCTATCTCATATCCAATTATGTCAGTAATACACATATGCTGCTCTTTATTTATTTTGACTTCTTATTTACTATAAGGATTTATTACTATTCTGTTTTCCTTTTGGGCTTCCCTCATGACAAAGTCTGGTAAAAAAAAAAAAATCTGCCTGCAATGCAAGAGACCCAGGTTTGATCCCTGGGTCGGGGAGATGCCCTAGAGAAGGAAATAGCAACCCACTCCAGGGTTCTTGCCTGGGAAACCCCATGGACAGAGGAGCCTGGTGGGCTACAGTTCATGGGATCACAAGAGTTGGACACTACTTAGCAACTAAACACCACCACCCACTTCCTTTTACTGCTCTTCCCGTAAAAGTTGTGTCACAAATCTATAGTTATTGCTTATGTCCTTATGACTATTAAAAGCTGTTTATGAAGAACATTGTTTACTCAACTTCACTGTATTTCTGGTATGTACTAGATTTTCTAATTACCTCATTTTTTCACTTACATAATTAGTGTTATACATTAAATTACTCCTAGTTGTACCAGAAGGAGAGGTTTTGTATTATGAGTTTAAAAGTTCAAGAACACCGTGTGTTTAATGCCATTTTGTAATCTGCCAAAGAGTTGAGATTGTTATCCTAGGAGACATACTTGCAGTTATTGCTTCACCAAAAAAGTCCACTTCCTTGTAAAGAATTTATGATCAGCAATGGCCAGGATGGGGTTCTGGAACATCCATTTTAAAAATTCACTCCTTAATTTCCTTAGGAAGAACAAAAAGAATTGGATGAGATTACAGCAAAGAGGCAGAAGAAAGGCAAACAGGAAGAAGAGAAACCTGGAGAGGAAAAGACAATCTTACATGGTAATATGTTTTTTATGCCTCTTCTTTTTTATGATAAACTTACAGATATTTACTTTGTTCTCTGTTCATATATTAATTGCCTTTACTAATCAGCTGCTGGGAATCATTATATTAAGAATTATATTGGACAGTTTGCATCCCAAAGAAATTATAGCAAACTCTTCTGTGTTGTAATTAGAGATAGCCACAGATTATTTTTTTGAAGTACTAATGAACTTTTTTTTAAAGGTAGATAAAGGAGATTATGGTTCACAATCTGTTCTTCCCTAAGATAAAGTTGACTCTTTCTGGCATATAACTAGTCCCCCAGTCATTTTAACCTTTTCTTTTTAACCCAAGCCAAATTTTCTCCAGGTATGATCACAGTTCATAACTGTTACTAAATTACACTTTTAAAGAATAAACTTTGTTTTTCAGGTAAGTAGGTTAGAGATCTATATGCTCATACATACTTTGATTTGCAGAAGGAAATGCATATTCACCAAAACAAATTATAAATATTCTAGACTCTACCTGATTTATTACTAACTAGTTATATTGGGGAAATGATGTAGTGGTTACCAGACTATGAAGAATAATCCAATTCAGATAGTATTGATTACTCTAATGTTATACCACTTATCAAATATATAGGTTTCATGAGGTCATATTTAGTTTTAGTTTCTCAAGTTCTCATTTTATCTCTAAGTAGTCTGTTTAGTACTTTGTGCTTACAGCCATAATAACAATAACAGCCAACATTTATTGAGTACTTATTCTGTGCAGCATGCTACTAAATGCTTTGATACATACTATACTATGTCATTTAATTCTCAGATGTGACTTCATTGTAAATCTGATTGAAAGTAGAAAAGAGATTGGAAAAGGAACCTGGAAGGGCATAAAGGAGGAAAATAGGGAAGAGGATAGTTGATATACTTTTGTTTTAACTTCCTTTTAATCCTGTTTTGCTTCTGATTCTTTGCCAGTGACTCATAAGGCCCAAGTGTTATCTTTTCTTCTCTGAATAATTATACTGCAGTGGAGTCTTTTGTACACACTGCTAAAACTGGATAAAGGAAGTAAGAGCTTATTTAAAGTTCTGATATTCTCTGGAAATTTAGGGATTCCAAAATACTACCTCTGATTGAAATAACAGCAGTGATTTCAGGCAGTTAAATTTTCGCTGTCTCTTGGTCTTAACATCATCAAAATAGTATTACCTAAACTTTAATATGCAATGATATCCTTGTGAATTAAGTGTTTGTTATTTTAAGAATATAGATTTCATAACTACAGCTTTTATTTGTTCACTGCTTTCTTTTGCCTTCTTGTTTCAGTTAAAGAAATGTATGACTATCAAGGCAGGTCCTATCTTCACATACCTCAGGATGTTGGTGTTAATCTGCGGTCAACTGTGCCACCTGAGAAATGTTATCTTCCCAAAAAACAAATTCATGTGTGGTCTGGACACACAAAGGTAAACGAATTGGTTGTTTTTATTTGCTGTAATGCATTACTATAACAGTGAAGCCAGCATAAATTTTCAGCTATTGATGTGGGACACTCAGTATTTCTAGTGAAGATGTAGAGAAGACAGAGAGAGCAGCGAAGTCATTAAAGATAAACTGGAGTCACTTTGGAGGTGCCAATACATGTGAGTCACAAGTGAGTACTCGGTCTTCAGGGTCATCTGATTGGGCCATGACATAGGCATTCATGGTTCAGTGTCTTACCCCCTTATGGTAGCCCAGGCCTTCGCTTCCCAGCTCCTGCCGTTATCTACTTCCTCTTGGGCACCAACTCGGTGAGTAGTGGGCTGATACTAGCACCAAAGTCTCAGTAATTTTGCCTTAGCTCTTGGGGTTATCCCACTTCAAAGATTAGACGCTCCCTGCTTTATACACTATGATAATACTTAAACTAATGCAGAGACAAGGCACTTGAAAACTCTGATGTTAATATTCTTTGTCATATTCACTGTTCCAACTGATAATTTCCAACTCTTAGCAAAGAAAGGAACTGAGTAAAAGAAGGAAGAGGAGTGAGGGCATGAGCAACATGCTTGACTGAGAATTCCCCTGGGTGAGGAAGTCACTGATGAAGGTTAGACAAGCTTAGTGTCAGTACGGGTTGCTCTTAGAATACTTCTGAAGGTTTTTCTAGGGTATGGATTTTAAAATAAAAAAAAACAAACAGTAAATTATGTGGTTTAAAAATACGCTGTCTTTCCCTTTTGTTTAATTTTAGCTGAGATTTTGAGTGCTTCTGATTGATAATTGTAATACCTTTTTACAGGGTGTCAGTGCAGTCAGATTGTTTCCTCTCTCTGGCCATTTGTTGCTGTCTTGTTCCATGGACTGTAAAATTAAGGTGAGTTTTCAGTAATAGAGTAGAAGCTACAAAGCTAGTGCTACAAAGCTAGTGCTTTGGTTAAATCTATTTGGTTAATTATAAATAGATCTGAGTTTGTTAGGCAATTAGAGGCTAATTATTTTCTCTTAAGCCCTGTGAATGCAGTAGTTTATGAACTGCTTCCAAACATGTTGATTCAGATATGGCTTTGTAGTCCAATTGGCTAGGCTCTTTGTAAGCTTAGATAGCTGATTAGAACATAATCACTCACTTTAGCTTTAGGCGCATGAATATTTAATCACCAATAATGCATTTTTATAGAGGTGTTGGATATGTAACTGAGTTCATTTGTTCCTCAGTACCTTAGAGGTAGAAAGGATATGTGATAGAAATCCCATTTTTAGAGAGTAAATAATATAATTCACTCTTTTTTTCTTCCAAATGCTAGTAGCAGAATTGCTCCCAGCCTCTTCTTCCACTTTATATAGTCTTGGGAAGGTCTACCTTTAGTTGATGTTCAGCAATAGTGTGTGGTAGAAAAAAAAAATCTGAGTTGCCAATACATGTCAATTTGATATGGGAAAAGCCTTTTAAAAACTTAAAGCTGGTCGAATGGTTTTTATCTTTTGTATGTCTTCTGTGTCCAGATCATTATACTAGTCAATAAATATCAACCCTATAATAGTGGTCTTGGAAAGTTGATTCATGAAAATTTTATCCTTTGTAAATAATTCATGGGTAGTAACAATATATTAATATAAAGGTAGCATTTTTTGATGAGAGCAACAATTTAGGCATTTGTCTTGACTTAGTGGTTTAAAATGACAGGCCATCAGTTTGGAGTAGCAAGACTCATTTCCTTTAACTTTCAATTTATACAGACTATGTTAATTGAGATTAAAGCCTTCTATTTGCCTAGTTAGAACAGCATAGAATTCAGTTGAGTTCATGTCTGGGTACACTTTATGTACATTTATTAGGCACCTATTATGTACGAGGGCCCGAGGATAAAAAATTACTTTGGCACTGTCCCTGGTCTTAACGGTGACCATTTCATTATGTTGTAAATGATCCTTGTAGAGGAGGTGTTCTGATGTCAGAGAGGAAGCATACCCCAATAGGAAGTGTGAGTAAGAGGTGGGGGGGAGTGTAGAGTATGTCTGAGAGGAGTAAACAGAATGCATCAGCATTGTGTGTGCTGAAAACTGCAGGTTCTGTGACTGCTCGAATTTAAATCTGAGCGGCATAGAGTGACTACAGTCATAACAGGGGACCAGGTCCAGACATGTTTTCCTGGTGTGCTGCAGGAACCGAGGCTTTACCCTGCAAACACTGGGTGGCCAGGAAGTGCTTTCTGTTTCAGATCACTGGCAACACTGTCCAGGACTGGATTTGAGGCAGGCAAGAATAAAGGTAGTTTCAAAACTGTTGTATTAATTCACTTTAGATGTAATGAGATCTATGAGCTTGTTATATTTCAGCCTAGATCTTCATTTTCATAACAGCTTTTAGTATATGTGCTGCCAAAGCAAGCACTCATAACAGCTTCTATAATAGTTAATACTTCAGAAGAGTTAAAAAAAAAAACATTTCAGTACCAAAATGTTATAACATGGCAGTTTTAATAACATTTAATTCTTTTAAAGCTAGTTTATAGTATTACATAAGTAGAAACTTTTCATCACAGAAAATGTCAAATACAGAAGAAGAAAATGAAAAGCACCTGTATAAGCTCCATCTAAGTTCTCTTAATTTCAGAGTTTAAAGTGTGTATGTGTGTGTGTACATGCGCATGAGTATGTGTATAGTCCAGATAGTGTAACACAGACTAATAGCACCAAAAGTGAAAAAAACAAAAAGTGACAGTGTTAGTCACTCAGTGTCGTGTTCGACTCTGTGGCCCCATGGACTGTAACCTGCCAGACTCCTCTGTCCATGGAATTCTCCAGGCATGACTGTTGGAATGGGTTGCCGTTCCCTTCTTCAGGGGATCTTCCCTACCCAGGGATTGAATCCAGGTCTCCTGCATTGCAGGCAGATTCTTATACCATCTGAGGCAATAGCACCAAACAATGTGTTTAATAATATGTAATGCCTTGGTTAAGTTCCCTGTACACACACAGATATGCACACACACATAGCTGGCATACGACAATTGTTAGTGGTTGAAAGTTGTCATTTTATCAAAGAGTTGTATTAAATTTAACGTTTCTATGTGTTTTGTTTTGTTTTTCCTCCAGCTATGGGAGGTTTATGGAGACAGGCGCTGTCTGCGAACATTTATTGGTAATATTTCTTTTCTCTCTAGCTATAAATCTGTTTGGAAAGACTTTTTAAACTACAGTAACATCATCAACAGTAATTTTACTACTACTGATTTTGCTCCTGATGTGAAGGAAAGCCTTCACAGACTTGAGTGAGTGTTGAAGGAGGGGTAAGTCTCCCATATAAACAAAGAATCAGGAAGAGAGAGCAACAGAAGCTGTAGCAGAAGTGATATGAGAACTGCATTGAGGGAACCACTTGCACCTCAGCATCATAAGCATGAGGAATACGGTGAGAGGGGAGATCAGCAGTCGAGGTGGGCAGAGTGTGAGAGACCTTTGTTCTGTCTCGGGGGTCTTCGGAAGCCAACAGCTGAACAGCTCTTGCAGGAAAGCATCATGATCAGATTTGAAGTTTTCAAAGATCACAATGGCAGTATAGAGGATGCTTTGATGGGGCAGGCCTAGAGGCAAGAAAATGATTTACAAAGTTATTTCATCAGTCTGGATTAGAGATGATGAGTGCCAGAACTAGAGCAGCAGAGAGAGAGGAAAGGAACAACAAAGAGTTGAAAGCAGTGGCTCTTAGTAACTAGGAAAGGAACAACAAAGAGTTGAAAGCAGTGGCTCTTAGTAACTAGAAGTGAGTGTAAAAAGAGCGAGGTGGAAATCTAGAGCGACTCCCAGGTGGCTGGCTGAATGGTGGTGCCATACATCTTAGGAAGATGATAAGGTTTCAGACTCATGGAATTTGAGCTGCTTTTGAGATATTGAGATGAAAATGTCTTGTAAGCAATTAGATAGCCAGATGTCGAGCTTTGAAGAGAAGCTGGGAATTGGCTGCAAACACAGGTAAAAAGAAGAGGTTAAGAGAACTCCTTGAAGGAAAGAAGACCAAAAAGAGGACAGCTTTGTGGCAGCCTTTTGGTAGATTGTCAGATTTTGCATGAAGACTGGTTACGTTTCCAAATTAACTATACCGAAATGAAACAATATTTGAATTATATTGGCTCTGTTTTTAGATTTAAGTGGAAGTCCATTCTGTATTGCTTTGTTACAATTTTAGGGCCTCACTGCACAAATAAATACTGCCCGAGATGTCAGGGCAGCCCAGAAGACTTTGGGAAGGCTCTCGGCAGCATACAGGGAACCGAATGTCTCCTGTGATGTAGGGGATTTGGTTCTCGTTTGTCCCCCCTCCTCTTGCTGCTTTTCACTGGAAAACTGACAGTTCCTACTTAGAAAGATGATAACAGCTCTGCCCAGGACTCCTGCTGTAGGAAAGGATGCCTGCATGCCATGACTAGAGGTCATCAGCAGTGGTGGTGATTTAGGGCCCCTGTTGACCATTTGTGCCGTGCACATTTTGTACAATTGTCTTGGGTCATAGTGGGATAGTAAAAAATAGGAAAGTTTCTGCTTTCATTTAGTAACATTTTATTTACCCCTATAACTTTCAAAAGAGTTGATTGGTCCAGTAAGATTGATTTCTAAGCAAAGCACCTTGAAATTAATTTATTGTCAAATGCCATTTTAAAACTAAATGTAGTTAGTATTTGTTTTTAAAAAGGTTTAGTCCATGAGATGCTGGATCCATTTCTATGAAATTCAGTAATGTAATCCCAGAAATATACAATTATTGAACAGAAGCCACAATTTTCATGAACATTGGCTTTAGGTCACTTTGTTTTCATTTCCAGCTTGGCTAGTAATTTCAGCATGAACCTTTAAAATGTCACCAGTCATTTCTCTTTCATTGGCAATAATTGGACTGTTGTGTTTCCTTAGATTCTTGACCAGTCATCAGCTTTATGTATTACATTATTAAGAGAGTGCCATGAGAGACTTTTTAAAACAAAGTTAGATCTTTTCTCTTGATTCTTACCTAAATGTTATGCATCAGAATCACCTAAGGAGCTTTTCAAAGGGAGGGAAAACACCTACATTCTGTAGCCCACACATAACATATTCTGAGTCAGTAAATCAGGAGGTAGAATTCCAATGATTTTGACTCACAGCGTGGCTCGGAAGACACTGTTTAATGCCGTTTCTCTTATGGTGCTTATATTTTAAATGAAGACACTTCACCTCACCTCCATTTCTGTTGTCTTTGCCTTTAGGTCACAGTAAAGCTGTTAGGGACATCTGCTTTAACACTGCAGGGACACAGTTCCTCAGCGCAGCTTATGACAGGTATCTTAAGCTCTGGGACACTGAGACAGGTAAGAGCTCACTTATACGGACACACATTCACCTTAGAAATAAGGTTTTTAAAATGGAACAATGTGAGTGGTCTTCTGTGCCAAAATGGTACCTTCTCTAACTGCTAATTCTCATATCATTGGCCATCAGCTAATACCACAAAATGTTTATAAAGTTGAAACTGAGCTGTAAAAGTAGCTCTTTCAGTATGAAATTCCTTTCCACGAAATACAGTTTATAAAGTAAACATATTGGTAGATAAGGAAATTTGAAATTTTCCATAGACTATTTAATTGATCTTTAGGTTATCCTCTACATAACCTACCATGCTGCATTGTATAATAGAAGCACAATAAATACACGATGAACAGAATTAAATTTAATTGCCCCAATTGCTTAAAATGTAGGTCTAAACTTCCACGGGCAGATTGGTTTTATATATTCACAGACATATTGATTACATTAGCACATTGTGGCTAGTATAATTTTACATAATCAGAGAACCATCTTTCATCGTACTGAGTTTTAAGGATAAAGAAAATAGCTAATAGTTATTGAACACTGTTTACCAAGCATTATACTAAGCACTTATATGCAGTATCTTGTTCAGCCCTAACAATATCACTCACTATGAATTTAAATACTACTATTGTTATGGATGAGGAAACTGAGGTTTAAGAGATAACTTTTCCAGAGTTACAAAGCTAGTAATGGTCAAATTGGATTTAAACCAAGGTCTTTGTAATGCTAAACCCCATACTCTTAACCTCTTTGACAGTGGTCCTCAACTCTTTACTCCATGTTTTAATTACCTGGAGAGTTTTATCTGCTCTACAATTGATGATACAGATTTACTTTCTACAATTGATGATACAGATTTACTTTTTAAAATATTATTTTTATCATTAAAAATTCATGAAAAGGAACAATGCAGTTTGCAGTAAAGAACAAACAGGCTGCCATTTCTCCAAGTTTATTAGGAAATGATCTCTTATCTCTAGATCTTAATTCCGGGGTTGTCTTTAAATGGTCAAATTTATTTTACCTACTTTAACTTGGGTCTTTGGTTTTAGGACAGTGTATATCAAGATTTACAAACCGAAAAGTGCCCTATTGTGTCAAATTTAATCCTGATGAAGATAAGCAAAATCTCTTTGTGGCTGGGATGTCTGATAAGAAGATTGTGCAAGTAAGTCTTTTCACAATATTTTTATTAAGATTCCTGAGCTTTACATTATATCAGGGACTGAAATAAGGAATAGTAACTTGTTTAATGTTTGCTGCTTTTAGGGTCTGCTGATGCTCTAGTCTTAGCAGAAAGCAGTAAATGTATAAAAAGATGATATTGGAGATCTCTTCTCCTTCTCCATTTATCATGATTATCACCTTTGTTTTCATAAATCTGCTCTACGTCTGTCTTTGCCCTTTCCCTTATTTGATATACAGTGGGACATTCGAAGTGGAGAAATTGTGCAGGAATATGATCGGCATTTGGGAGCTGTCAACACCATTGTTTTTGTCGATGAGAATAGGAGATTTGTAAGCACATCTGATGATAAGAGCCTAAGAGTTTGGGAATGGTAAGTTTTTATCAGTAAAAATCTGATTTATATAAAGCAAACAACTTGAAATTTTGTAGCCAAAGAGAAAGTCTGATAATACACAACAATCTGAATATTTTCACAACTGTGATCTCTGGCCTGTCGATCAAACTGGTTTAACTATTCAAGTGTCCAGAAAATGAAAATTAAAGTTTAAGCATGCTACTTTCCATAGTCTTTAGATAACCTATCTAAAGAATATATATTTTGAGTCATTTTTCTTGTACTAGTTAAAAGCTTATATAGTGCTATCTTACATTCTGTATTAGGTATTTTATTCATCTTTGCAAAAAGTAGGGATGATAAACATAGAGATTGTATTGCTTATGCTAGGGATTGAGTATAAGATCCTATCATTAGAAAATAAGAAACTATTTTAAAATCTCTTGATTTTTTAAACATCTGCATTTTGATTATTCAAAAAATTGCCCCAGGTCATCATCCTTATGTCCTGCTGTTCATAGCCTATAATGGTAGAATACAAATGTTTTACTTGTAGAGTATAATCAGAATATATTGGTTAATTATGCTTTCCTAGAGGGGAAAAAAAAACACTTTTCTGAAGTCAATAAATAATAATGTCACTAAGTGCCTATCATAGATCATGTTTTATAATTGATTTTCAAAGTACTACATAGTAATCTTTTTGTCAGAGTGAATGTTTGGTTGGAACCCAGCTTGTTTTTACAGTTACTTGTAAGACATAGCTGAACTGTGGCTACAGTCTTCAGGGACTAGAAAGTGTCTTTCTACCCCCAGAAGTTGTTCTGCTGTAGGAAGTAAGATGTCTTAAACTACAGGCATCAGTTTCCTCCCGAAACTGAGTCTGTTTGGGGACCTGTGAAAAGTAAAAATTAGTCGCTCAGTTATGTCCGACTCTGCGATCCCATGGACTGTAGCCCACCAGGCTCCTCTGTCCATGGGGATTCTCCAGGCAAGAACACTGGAGTGGGTTGCCATTTCCTTCTCCAGGGGGTCAAACCTGGGTCTCCTGCACCGCAGGCAGATTCTTCACCGTCTGAGCCACCCGAGAAGGACCTGAGAACATCCCTACACACATCAGGGGACAGTTTGGGTAATTGAAGATTTAATGTAATTTAACTGCAGTTTCTCCCACACTCCCTCCACATTACCTCCAGTTAATGGAGAGTTGACTACTATATACATAGTCTTCGCATTTATTCTTAAAATCTTAGCATTATTCTTAAGGTCCATGATTTGAGACTGTCTTTTAACTAAGATCTTTCCTACTTCAGAAATGATGTTACATGCTGATTAAGACATCATTTCATATGGGCCACCTTAGACCATTTGTACAACAAAGCACTTAGTTTAGCTTTATGTACTCTAACAGTTTGATTATACTTAAACTTTCAGGTGTTTGTATCTTCAGATGGTATTTTCAGCTTCATTTGAAAATGTGAAGTAGTAAATTGTTAACTGTTTAAATGATACACACCAGTTACAGGGCTTTTAGAACACTTGTGAGCGTTTCCTAAATTAGAGCATTGGTCAGCAAAATATTTTGATTAAATTAAATGGTAAGAGGTGTTTTTTTCCTTCTCAGAACTTAAGAAATACTCCTAAGAGTCAAAATACTGTTTCATTATGAATGATGACATCCTGTAGATTTCAGTTCAATTCTCACTTGCTATTAGAACCTTCCTAACCAATCCTCACATGAGATTAGGTGCCTCTTCTCTATCATCCCACACAAACAACCCTTCGCTTCCCACAGCTTTTTATTAATAGTGATTGCTTATTTATTCCTCTTCTCTGACAAGCTCCTTTCTTTTTTACAGGGTGTGGGGTATACATGTATTTTTTAAGTATAGTTGATTTACAATGTTGTATCCTGACGAGTTCTTAACCATGAGAGAAAGAACTGCCTCAACTCTCCATCTGTCTCCAACACCAGCACAATGCCTGGCACACAGACTAGATATCTAAGAAAATCATTATTGTCATAATTATTAATGATGTTACTTTTATTGAGCTCTTTCTGTGTCCCAGACACACTAAGCATTTTGCCTGAACTATTTTATGTAATGGGCAAGTAATCTTATGAGACAGCTGTATTTGCTTTTCCTGTTTTATAGATAAAAAACTGAGATACATTAAGTAGTCTACCCAAGTTCCCATGAAACTTGAAAGGGCCAGAATTTAAATTCAGATCAAGCTAGTTCTAGAGATTTTCTTTTCTGTTTTTCTCACCAGTTTTATTGAGGTATTAATAAAATTATAATGTATTTAAAGTGTACAACATAATGATTCGATATACATATACAGTGTGAAAGAATTAATTAGCTCTTTCACACTGAGTTAATTAACATATCCATCACCTCACATATTTACTTTTTGTTTTGTGACAACACTTAGTTTGTACTGTCCTAGCAAATTTCAGTCATGCAGTACAGTATTATCAACAATAGCCACCATGGTATACATTAGAACATCAGACCTTATTCATCTTACAGCTAAGGGTGTGCACCCTTTTGCTAGCTTTGCCTAATTTCCTACTCACCCCTCCACCCATACCCTGGCAGCCACCATCCACTGTCTATTTCTATGAGTTTGACTTTATTTTTTTTTTAAAGATTGCACAAATAAGTGATACCATATAGTATTTGTCTGTCTCTGACTTATTTCACTTAGCATAATATCCATCCTCCTGGTTTATCCAAAGGAAAGTTGGTTTTCTTAAACAATATCATACAAACTAAGACTATTACACAGTTTTAAAGGAGAACAGGAGATGTAATTAGATATTGAGCATCCTGTGGTATCCTATTGCATGAGCTATCATAGGCATGTTTTCTAACAAAGGCATTTATTTTTGTTAAAATGTTTTTAAAATTTCAGAGGTTGGCACTATTCTTTTATCTTTAAAATGTCATACATTTTTGTTAGGGGTTTTTTTTTTTTTTTTTTTTTTTTTGATAATTTCATTTCCAGGCTGAAAAGTATTTGTAACATGCTGTGCTGTGCTGTGGTTGGTCACTCAGTCGTGTCCGACTCTTTGCAACCCCATGGACTGGAGGCCGCCCGGCTCCTCTGTCCATGGGATTCTCCAGGCAAGAATACTGGAGTGGGCTGCCATGCCCTCCTCCAGGGGATCTTCAGGACCCAGGGACTGAACCCAGGTCTCCCGGATTGCAGGCGGATTCCTTACCAGCTGGGCCACCAGGGAAGCCCTGTTTGTGGCATATTACAAGCTTATTATACTGATTTATAATTTCTAGTTAGAATATAATATTATTAAATAGAACTATACCTAGCATTTTTCCTAGTAATTGTGAAGTTCATAGGTGTTCAGATTCTTTATATAGAGAATCTCTTGTTGTAGAGCTCATTGTATCAAGAGTCCTTGAAATAAGGGATCTGTTTAAATTTTTTTGTTTACTTTTCATAAAACATGGGTTGATAATGAACCTGAAGTATTGTTAACTTAATTTACAAAATGCTCTTATTTTTTAAAATCATGTTATAAAATTATCAACTACTAATAATAAATATGAGAAGGGAAAAGCAGTTGAACCTTTTTAAGATTGAAGCTCGGCTCAGTATATTTGGATCATTTGGAAGTCACTTCTCGCTGTTATTTAGAGGTATAAAGGGTTTGAGATTTGATAAATCTTACTGTTCCTCAGGTTATCCCAGAAAATGTTTTCCTCCAACAAAGACTGTGATGGAAGTTTTTTCTAATTGTTTACTTCTTCTGGGGTGATAGATGGATACAGAAGATCCTTACTTAAAAGGCACATTATTATTATTGTCGTTGTTGTTTTCTAATTAATCAGTCTTTGAACTTGAACCATAGTTTGAAATTGAAATGGGTGCTTTATATTCTGTATTATCAGAGAAGGCAATGGCACCCCACTCCAGTACTCTTGCCTGGAAAATCCCATGGATGGAGGAGCCTGGTAGGCTGCAGTCCATGGGGTTGCTAAGAGTTGGACACTAACTGAGCAACTTCACTTTCACTTTTCACTTTCATTCATTGGAGAAGGAAATGGCAACCCACCCAGTGTTCTTGCCTGGAGAATCGCAGGGACGGTGGAGCCTGGTGCGCTGCCATCTGTGAGGTTGCACAGAGTCAGACACGACTGAAGCAGCTCAGCAGCAGCAGCAACTTTCTGTATTATTCATCAGATTACATTCCCCACACATTACTCTACAAAAAAACCATTTCTGATGTCTCATGAAAAGCAGCAAGATCAAAATCCTTCAGAACCACTGAAATTTTTTTTAGTATTATTATCATGGAGAGCATTAAAAATGAAAAGACACTTAGAACTTTGGATGGTTTTCGATATAGGTGACTAGTTTTGAATTTTTGTTGTTTTCATTTTATTCTTTTTTATTTTGTAATTATTCTTCTATTCTCACAAGAAAAAATGTTTAATGTTTTTTCTCCTACACTGTATACATTTGGAATACTTTACATGTAAGCTGAAAATAGATGTCCAGGTGTTAATCTGCCAGAAATTATGAGATTTCTGGATGGGTTTGACCTGCTTGCAGATCCCTGTACAGCTTGCCTGCCATCTACTTGCATTGCTGAAGGCTCTTTAGCACTTGAACCTTGCAGAGTGCTAAGTGATGGTTGATTGGCAGGTAAAAGAATACTTCCCTGCAGGCTTGCCTCAGACATCTTGCTTCTGTCTACCATGGTACATTTTTAGATGAGTTCATTATTAAAGACCTTATAATAACAGATTATTTTTTAACATAAAGGGCAAAGTTAAAATCAAATCGTGGTAGAAAACTAAATCATTGACACTTGTAATTATCATGGAAAGTCATTTGTGTAAGTAAAAGCTTTATAATAATAGAATGTCATTTTGTGGTTTTCCTTCCTCCAGGAAGTTTCATGAAACTTTATAATTTCAAGAGCATCTCTTTTGTTTCAGAGATTATTCTTCTAAAAGTACTTTTAAAAGTTACTATTCTGATATGTTATTTTTAATTTTTAGGGATATCCCTGTGGATTTCAAGTATATAGCAGAACCCAGTATGCACTCAATGCCTGCAGTGACTTTGTCTCCAAATGGTGAGTTAGTAGATACAGTGTTTTTAAATGAGCTTCTAAGACACTGTGTGATTTCTGTTTTCAAAAGAGCCTTGGCCATTCCCTCCTAGGGAAAGTCTGTCACAGTGCCATACTTGTATATTAGAAATAATCACTGATTTTCATTTATGAGTCACCTCACCCATTCTCTTGTTTTTTTTTTAAAAAAGGTAAAAATAAAAGAAACAATGATTTGCAGCATTACCCGAGCATCTAAGGATTTCCATCTGAGAATCAGGGTTGTTGTTTTTTTTTTAACAATTCTTCCAACAGAATCATGTTCAGCAACTCATTTGGTGATTTACTGTGAGCTCTTTTTCTTTGGGGGAATAGGTAATTTTGTTCTGGTTCCTTATATGAGCACACCTTAGCAATTCACCTGAGAAAGATTTTCTCAGGCAAAAATTAAAAAGATAAGTCTGCTTAATACTGTTTTCTACTCAGTAATTCATTGCCTTTTAAGTACAAGTACTACAGATATACTGATATAATTTTACATGAGGATATTAAAGTGGAGGACCCGATGTTTGGGCAGCATGGTCAGCAAAGCCACTGTCAGCTCATGTAGCTGCTATGAAAACAGAGCAAGGACGAGGGATCAAGAAAGAGTTTGCTCTTCCAGTCGAAGCATCTACCATAGGCAAATCCATGGACACTTGCCAAGTGTCCTATGATTTTTATGAGAACAACCTCACAGGGTGCCGTTCTGATAATCACCATGTTGTATACAGTCACATCTGTGCATCTGCATTTCATACAGTGTATTTTTAAACCATTCGTCACCAATACTGTGCCCATCTTGAACAAAGCCACTTACCTAGTCGGACTGTGAACATTGTTAGGGTCGTCCTTTATCATGTCTATAATATATAGGATGCAAAGATACTGCAGTTTAGATGCTAGTGGTTTTGGTGAATCCTGGGGAGTTAAAAGCACTGTGGCCCAAATCAAGAAATGGGCAGAAGACCTAAATAGACATTTTTCCAAACAAGGCATACAGATGACCAATAGGCACATTAGAAGATGCTCTTCATCACTAACTCTTTGAGCACGGCAAATCAAAAACTACAGTGGGGTACTACCTCACACCAATCAGAATGGATGTCATTAATAAGTCTATAAATAAATGCTAGAGAGGGTATGAAGGAAAGGGGACTCTTACACTATTAGTGGGAATGTAAATTGGTGTAGCCACTATGGAAAACAGTATGAAGTTTCCTCAAAAAACTAAAAATAGAGTTGCCATATGATTCAGCAACGCCACTCCTGGTCATATACCCAGACAAAACTGTATTTTGAAAAGATTCATGCACCCCTGTGTTCATGGCTGCACAATTCCCAAGGCATGGAAACAGCCTAAATATCCATTGACAGATGAATGGATAAAGAAGATGTAGTACTATATACAGTGGAATACTACTCAGCCATAAAAAGGAATGAAATAACGCTATTGCACAGATGGATGGACCTACATATTATCATGGGCTTCCTTGGTGGCTCAATGCAAGTTCAGACTCTGTCAGAAAGAACCCCTGGAGGAGGAAATAGCAACCCACTCCAGTATTCTTGCCTGGGAAATCCCATGGACAGAGTAGCTTAGTGGGCTACAGTTCATGGGGTCTCAAAAAGAATCGGACATGACTTAGTGACTAAATAACAACAGAGATTATCATACTAAGTGGAGTAGGTCAGAAAGAGACTAATACTATATGATATCACACATACGTGAAATCTAAAATAGAACACAAATGAATATATATATAAAGCAAAAACATATTTTCAGGTATAGGGAACATACTTGTGGTTGCCAAGGGGCATGGGGGGAGGGGGTGGGCGTTTGGGATTAGCAGATACAACTATTATATATAGAATGGATAAACAATAAGGTCCTCTGTATAGCACAGGAAACTATATTCAATATCTTTGATAAACCATAATGGAAAAGAATATATGTATATCAGTCAGTTTGCTATATAGCAGAAATTAAATGCTACATTGTAAATCAACTATTACTTCAATAAAACTTTTTAAAAAGCATTGTGTTACTACAGCATTACTAAAATTACTAAAAGTGTTTTACTAAATTTTTTTTTTACTTAAGTAACTAAAGATTGTTTTGATCATATCTTTGTATAGTTTTATTTAATAATCCTAGGTTTTCTCACCTGGAGTTCATCTTTCTTCTTTCCGTAGTTAACACAAATAGTCTTCTTCTCTCCGTGGTTCTGTTATTTACTACAAATTCATTTCATTTCATAAAATTTAGTTTTGTTTTATTAAAGTTAAACTGGGAGTTTTTGTATATCCTTATTTAAACAGAAGAAAGCTTTTCAAGGAAAAATGCTAAATGATACAAGATTTTATGAGCAAAATCCCTTACTCTGTAAAATACAAATATTTCTCACTTTGAACAAATCTGTAACACTTCACAGGCAGTATGGTAAATTTATTTTCCTATTGTTATATAGTAGTTGGGAACGAAATAATATTAATGACTGAACCTACTAAAAGTATTTTTAAAATTTTCAGTCTTCCTCTAAAATGTCTCATTTATTGAATTTACAGGGAAATGGCTAGCGTGCCAATCAATGGACAACCAAATCTTAATTTTTGGAGCACAGAACAGATTTAGATTGAATAAGAAGAAAATTTTTAAGGGCCATATGGTAGCCGGCTATGCTTGTCAAGTAGACTTTTCACCAGACATGAGGTAAGTTTAAACTTTCTCATTTATTCCCATATTCATATATGATGATATAAACTACTACCATACAAATAGCAACACTATACAAATCACTTTTATATATGTAATTGTATGAGAATTATTCAGATTGTCTAAATGCCAGATAAAAAACAAGAACAAATTAAGACAGTTATATCTGGCGCTTTTTTTTTTTAAGTTCTTCATTATATCTCTCTACATTAGTTAGTTAGTTCTGTGCCCTTTAAGCACATAATGCCCTGTCCATATAGGCAATGTCTTTCCTTCTGCTTTTCTAAGCAAGGCTGTGAGGACTATAAGCACTATATTGCTATGATTTAATGAGCACCAGAGGAATTAATCCTGTATTGTGGGGTTGAAGTTAACAACTTCACTACAGCTTTTCTGTGCTAAAACCTCAAATCCAGCCTCTGAATGTTTCTCAGTCACACTAGATTTTTGAAGCCTAGAGCCTTTCTAAGAGTGAAACTCTGTATTCATTCCACTGTTGTTAGCTAAAATATATGGGTATCATTTATTCAGAAATTTCTGTAACCTTGTATGTTTAGCCTGGTAATTGGCACTTAGACTCCTACTTCTGAATGAGTCTTTGACATATTCAGAAGCTTTTGGAGCCAAAAATAATTACAAAGATGGTAGAGTCTACTCCAGTTGAATGGGTCTACATGTGTTTGCATGGTTTACATGTGTGTGAAATTGACCCCCTTACACTGTTTCTGACTGTCTTAGAGAGTGATTGTGATACTGCATTCACTGTGGCCCATGGGTCTCCCAGTTTTCCAAGTTGAAAGTAATTTTTCTCTTTTAAGACTGGTCACTCAATGGGGAGGTTTTTTGATAGAAGATTAAATTATAGACTGCTTTATATACTACCTTATTATTCAAGAATTATACAGTCACATTGATTTTTTTATGTTAGAGTAAGAAATATAAACTCTTTCTCTGTTCCTCATCTTATTTACCATTTTAAGGTGCTTGAATTATTTGAATTTATTTTTCTTCTCATTACAGCTATGTGATTTCAGGAGATGGAAATGGAAAGTTAAACATTTGGGACTGGAAGACCACAAAACTCTACAGTAGATTTAAAGCTCACGATAAAGTGTGTATAGGTGCAGTGTGGCATCCTCATGAAACATCTAAAGTCATAACTTGTGGTTGGGATGGTCTCATTAAATTGTGGGATTAATGGGATTAATCCTTAAACTATCTAGGATCATTTTTGATCCAATATTATATTTAACTATATTTAATTATTAAAGGTGTTGGATGACAACTTGATTTACAGGTTATGATTTTCTTACATGGCCTTATGAAATAGTTGAACCATTGTTTAAAAAAAACAACTGTAAATTTGGCCCATATAATTTCATTAGCAATTTCGTTTTGTTCTTTATAGATGTTATTATACAGAGAATGACCATTGACTTTACGTTTGACAAGTGGTTATTATTGGCAGGTGGTTTGGGTTTACCCCCGTGATGTACTAAAAGGATCTTTTTGGAGCTGAGAAGGAATCCCTAGTGGGTTACCTCTTCAAAAGAAAGGAAAGAACAGGGATGATATGATTTAATGTGAATCTGAAAGAAGGATAAAAACCACCCACAGTTACTGTTCCTATTATTTTCCATGGGTCAATTCTAATCTTTTGGATTCAGGAGTTCCATTATTTTTTTATTACTTATGTAGTGTCTGTTTAGTTGTAAGCCAGCAATCTTCTCTGACTTGAGCATCCCTCTAATTGTTAAACAGTGTAAAATAAAAATCAGTCCAGAGTTCTTTCCTTGGCTCTCTTCTTGATCAGTATAGACAGGACTATATATAATCAGAGAATCACATTATTTTTGAAAATGGAACTCAAGAGAATGAATTGTATTTGTATTTACTGTCCAGTAAGGACCTGGCTACACTTTCAGAAATCAGGGTCTCCTAGGTCACTGTTTCACAAATGTTACTATTGAAATACTCCTCATAGGAGATTGGATGTGAGAACATAGTTCAAAATGTCAGCTTGTAATTTCTTTGAAGCTGTATGTTTTATCTTTAAAACTAATCTGATTTTGCTTATGAATATATTCAATAGAACTTTTTAAGATTAGAAAAATGTTAAACTTCTTTCCAAATCTTTGGGTAAAATTGACACTCTGGGAAGATGACTAGGGTTCCTAATTTGAGAAGCAGGGACTGTGATTGGTTTAAAAAAATTTTTTTTTGAAACTTCAGATTGTGAAATCAAGATAGCTTCTTAAACATAGTAGCTAATAGCACTTTAGTTTGACAAGCCATTTCTCCTTTTTTTTTTCTTTTTTACAAATCTATGTCAGATGTTTGAATGTAGTGTGAAATATTTCAGTGCCATGCTATAAAAGATTGGCTCAAAGCTTCGCAGACTGCTGACCTAGAGACCAGAATCTTGTTGAGTGTTGATATCCTAGGACCATTAGCTCTGAGTCCTGCGCTACCAAGAGCAGTTCATGCTCCGTGCCCTTCGAACTTCCATTTTTAAACATTAAAATTTAAAAAGACCTGGTATAGATGACCAGGTGCTAGAGCCACATATAAATTTCAAACAAGAAAATAAAGAGAAAAGCGGTAGAAGTATATTTTGGACACAGCACTCAAAGAAATAATACACTGCCTTGCCGCTGCCATTTCTATCTCTTGATCTGCTGGGAAAGGTGACTGCCATTTCCTGAACAGGAAAAAATTCAATCAGAAGCTTTTCTGTAGTCCCAACTACTGGTTTTAACAAATGTGAATTATTGAAATGTGATGGGACAAAGAATTAATCATACATTTGAACTGTCTTGTTCAGGACCAGTATTATGTATGTTACAAATCATAACTTCTAAATCTGGGTTTATTTTATTGTGTTTTTAACTGTTTCTAAACTAAGGAACTGTATATAAAAGTTGTCTTTTTTTTAAAAAAGATGGTATTTTTAAATAAAGCATTTTTGTAGAAAGTGTTATCAAAATTTTTGTTTCTCCTTTTAAGTCTCAACTCTGAGACACCAGATTAAACCATTCGCAGATTTTAAATGAGTCCTTTTTCTGGGCTCAGTTGGTAAAGAATCTGCCTGCAATGCAAGAGACCCCGGTTCAATTCCTGGGTCGGGAAGATCCCCTGGAGAAAGAAAAGGCTACCCTCTCTAGTATTCCTGGGCTTCCCTGGTGGCTCAGCTGGTAAAGAATCCACCTGCAGTGCGGGAGACCTGGGTTTGATCCCTGGGTTGGGAAGATCCCCTGGAGAAGGGAAAGGCTGCCCACTCCAGTATTCTGGCCTGGAGAATTCCATGGCCTCCTTGGGGTCGCAAAGAGTTGGACACGACCAAGCGACTTTCACTGTCACTTTGATTTTTCTGGGGAGTAATGATGCTTTAAAGGTGAGTATAGTATATTAATGGGCTTATCCTAAATAAGTGACAAAAATACAAGCCAGTGCCCTCAGAGCACAGAGAATAAGTTTTAACGTAGTCCATATTTATTCACTTGGTGCCACTGAGTCTTGATTGCACCTATTTTAGAGTACACAAATGTGTGGGCTTCTTTTCCAGCATTAAAAATTTCAAGATCATACTGTGACTGGAAATAAGTGATTACCATCTGGCTCTTTTTCCTCACTGCAACCTTTTCTCACACCCAGGACAGATTTCCTTCCTGAAAGTTAAGGATAGTAATGATGCTTTGGTAGAAAGTTTAATGAATATTTACATAGTGAAGCACAAGCTGGGAATACTTTGTCCTTAATAAGGAGCCAGTTTTAAGATAAGGAACATGGAGTAGTATCAAACAGGCACTTCTCTAAGTATGAAAGTATAGAGTGATTTTTGAGGATGCATTGTGAGGCTGGTTGATGTTCTTAGCTATTAATTACCTGGAAGAAAACACGGACAGTGAAATAACAACCCCTCGAATGGTAGCTGTAAGAATTGCAATACCAGCAACAATTATAGAGACTCTACTTGAAAAATACTGTTTCTCAGAATGTGAAACAGAATGTGGACTGAGAACTACCTGGAGATGGTGCCCCTTAGTGAGATACAGAATTCAGAAGAAAGTAGTGGATGATTAGGGAACCATAATGAATTCAGGAATGGAGAGGGAAGTGTGAAGTGCCATCCAGGTCAAAATATCCATCAGCAGTATTAACTTTGGGTCTCAAAGAGACCTAGGGAACACTGATGCTATTCTTCATCAACAGTGCATATTTTTCTCATTTTTGTCATCTCTGAAATAGAGCTATACCTTAATGATGTGTCATCATTTAATTGGCAGCATTTTTTCTTAATGGATCATAAAATTACTGATGAAATACAGTATAAACAAGGCAAATATTAAGGGAACCTAAGAAAAAGAGAAGAGCCAAAGGAAAGAAGATTCCACTATAACACTTGGCTCAAAATTCATGTTATCAAATATTTATTTGATCAGTGGGTAAATAAAATGAATGACCTACCACAAGATTGCTCTGAGGCATCACCCCCTAGAACCAGCTTTTTATCTAAATTTTTCAACTTAAGGATTTCCAAACCATGTGATTACAAATTCAGTTTCTTAAACAGACTGAAGGTTTCAAATTCTTAAACTGGTTTTCTCCAGAGCCACAGGAAGGTAGACTTCCTTGTGCTTGGAAGAAGGGGGATAGAGGTCCTTTATTAAGAACCCTCTTCCACTGAGATTGTCACCCTCCAAAGGTCCCACTGCTACAGGTATAGGCTCCAATCCTGTCCCACCAAACAATAAGCCTTATCTCTAATGCTCTAGGCCCCTGGCCCTCACTGGTATACTGAACTCTTAAGACCACTGCAATGTAGGTTCCTGCTACCTCTCAGGTTCTAGGATCCCTTTGAACTTTTTGTGTCTGAAGGTTTTTCTTTCTTGGGCATTCATATATATATACATAAACGTGTGTGGGTATGTGCATGTGTGTATATTCACATGTGTGTGTATATATATTCACACATAATACCTACAGAAAGATCACCATGAAAATACATCCTTAATCTAGTATCTTTGGATGTTGCCACTTTGTTAGAGCATTCTAAAAACACAGAAGTATAAACAAATGCAGTCTGAAACATTCTGGTTTTTAGAACCTTGGGAGCTTAAGTGTGTTACCTAAAAAGGTACTTTACCTAAGGGTACTTCACCTGATGACTGGAGAGCCATTATAATGGATTCTTTAATCTGGGCCTTTTCTTGTGAATCAACGTATCATTTGGATTCTCTTGAATTTATCCTAAGACTTGCCTTTTATAGCACACAAATCAAGAAATTACCTAACCACCATCTAAGCCTTCTCTAATCACAAAAATCTTAGAATAATGAGATTTTTAAACTAGAAGAAACCTTAGAAACCAAATATTCCAACCTAAGATAAGAAAATAGGCCAATAAGGGTGATGAATCGCTTGGTATCACACAGCTAGTTAGCAGCAGTGTCAGAATCTTTCTCCCTTCATCCTGCTATCCTGTTTCCTCTACATACTGCCACTTAATTGTGTATTTTTAAATTGTCATATTTGTGATGTGATTTTTGTCGCTTCCAGCTTGCTTTCTCTGAGGTAGTTAATCGACTGTGTTTATTTCGTCCTTGAGTAAAACAGAACCTGTAACTAAAGACATTCTAACAGCCTCTTCCACCAGAGTTAGACCAAATGGTAACTGTGCTGGGAAGGACTTTTCTGACTTCAGTCAAATAGCCTGGAGAACATAATATGCTCTCTCTCCTTTTTACTCTTTGGAAAACTACCTTAATATTTTTTGTCCTAAAAAACCACTGTGGTTTTAATCACTTTTATAGGAATGCCAGCCAGCCCCTGTCCTTGACAGAAGTAGCCTCACATCCTCATACCTTCATTCTTTCATAAACTGAAAAATATTCTCCATGGTACTGTGAGTTGTGATCTAATACACTGACTCTAAAAAGTTGTTCTCTGGGAATTGGTTTTAAAAAAAAAAAAAGACAATGAGAAAGGAAGACTGAGGTTTAGTATCCCTAGGATAACTTCTAACAATAATTGAGCCTTTAATTATTATTGTATTTATTTGATTTAATTACTATATAGCTTTAATCAGGAATGAGGATTACTGCAAGTAGTGTAATAAACAACCATGTCAAGAAAAGGACTTGTGTCTTAAATTAACCAAAATGAGAGATATTGATTCATCTAAATTCCAAAGATATT